CAGCAGCAGCAGCAGCAGCAGCAGAGGCAGCTGCAGCAGCAGAGCAAGGGTGTGATGGACGTCGTCAGACAGAACGAAACTAGCCCCCCCCCCCCACCCCCCCAACACCAGAGAAGCAGACATAAACAAGCAAAAACAAGCTTAATCCGCGGGTCAATTGGTAGTGCGTTAGCAAAAACAAGAGCATGTGACATCCGCTAAAAGTAAGGTTTCCCCTGGCATGCTCATGAACGAAACACAACTCAGTCAAAACAGTTAAGTTAAAGCGAGCGGCTTATCAGTGGACAGCAGATCATCAAATGGATCCACCGACTCACTGCTGCTGCTTTCCACCTCCCCTTGCTGTCCGTTGCCCCCCTGCTGGACTGGGACGAGCTGCTGCTGCTGCTGCCCCATCTGCGAACTCATACCCGGCAGCATGTGGGATCCCATCCCCGTGGGTGGCATGGCGGCCTGGCCTAGCATCTGGGACCCCATGGGTTGCACGACGCCAGCCTGGCGAAACATAATCGGCTGCATGGCAGCCTGCCCCGCCATCATCTGGGGGCCCATCCCCGACATCGACGACGACGCTTGCCCTCCCATCGGCGCCATATCATAATAGCGTAGCCCGAACTCGCTGGGCCTCAGGTGCCTCAGATGATGATTTCATTCATCGGTATTTCTGCGTGAGCCGTCCTCCCTGACTCTCAAAATCAAACACAAATGACAATGATTCAATTGCATCTCAAGTACTCCGGCAGCCGCTTGTCCCGAGCGTGCTTGCGCTTGCCCATGGCTGCGAGGGTTTAAGGTTACTATAGAAGCCTAGATAACTACCAATACTATTCCTTCGGGTTCCTTGTTCCAAGCATGTTGTATAGGAGCCCCAAGCCCTAGTCTAGTCAATAAGGCCCCTACATTGCAGCCATCGAGCCTGACTGAACACAGACCGAAACCCCTTTAAACCCCTCTGAGGATCCGGGCACAGCTCTTGTTTTCCTTGTACCAGGACGAGAACGCACAGGCTGGCCACTCAGGAGTGCCAGGCATCATGGCTATGCTGATTTCAGATTTCAGATTGCTGATTTCAGACTGCTGATTTCAGACGAAGCTGATTTCAGACGGCTGATTTCAGACTGCTAATTTCAGACGAAGCTGATTTCAGACGGCTGATTTCAGACTGCTGATTTCAGACGAAGCTGATTTCAGACGGCTGATTTCAGACTGCTGATTTCAGACGAAGCTGATTTCAGACGGCTGATTTCAGACTGCTGATTTCAGACAAAGTTCCACGCATATTGTATAGGAGCCCCAAGCCCTAGTCTAGTCAATAAGGCCCCTGCATTGCAGCCATCAATCAAGAGTGAGAAAATGCCATTGAACACCAGAGTTTTCAAGGAGGCAGTTCCGGCCGCCTAAAAACTCGTCTGAGCCTGACCTGACTGAGCACAGCTGGCGGTTTCAGCTGGGGGAACAGTAAGTAGTTAGTGGGGCTCCTTAAAGGGACCCTCTCTCTCTCTCTTTCTCTCTTTCCTTGTCTTTGTCTCTCTTGCGGCCTCCCCTGCAATCTGAAGGCACTGTGCAACCCTCGCCCAGTTCCACCCCAAGTGGGCGCCAAGGCACTGGGCTGTCCCCGCTCGGGAAGCAAGCACCCCTATTTGTGACCGCCGGTCAGGGGGAGAGGGTTGCCGAACGGGTGAGCACAGGATCCTGCCCAGCAGACGCATTAGCCCATGTGCTCTGCTGTCATCCACCGAAGTGGGTTGGCCAAAAGCAGGAACGTATGGCACTTCAGTCCCGACACCCGGCCAACGGTGTCTCGCATGTTCTGCGTGGGTAAGGACGGACTAAGGACAACGACAAAGCAAGCAAGGTCAAGCCCATGCTAAGAACAAGAATGGTCTAGAAAAGTGTTTGAAGTTCTCCGCAGATACAGCGAATAATTTGGAATAATTTCGAAGAATTTCGAAGATTTACGAAGATCTGAGAAGAATGGTCTAGAAAAGTGTTTCAAGTTCTCCGCAGATACAACGAATAATTTGGAATATTTTGGAATAATTTCGAATAATTTCGAATAGTTTCGAATAATTTCGAAGATTTACGAAGATCTAAGAATAATGGTGAAGAACCTGGAATAATGAAGAATATTATGGAAGTTTACCGAAGAAAACTGAATATTTCCGAATATTTAAGCAGAAATGCAAACATTTCTGAATATTGTTGAATAGGGTTAAACACACTGAGAAGTACCCTTCTGAGAACCCTCCCTATCCTCATAGAAGAGTATTGGCATCGTATTGGCCAGCGGCCTCCCGCTCTGCAATACATGTCGACACGACGCTGGACGCTTGTAGCCCAATCTCACGACATGATGCAGCTGGCGTGCTCCGGTCGGGCAAGGGCAGCAGTCGCCGCCGGAGATCGAAGGTAAGCGAATCAGCGGCGCCAGGAAGAGCGCGGGGCTGCGACGGACGTGTAGAGTCTGTATAGTATGTTTCGGTGCCACGCCACGGAAATACCTGCAGGCGCAAAAGGGACGGCAACGTCACTTGCGAAGAAAGTCGAAGACTTTCTTCGACTTGTGTTCCTCCACCGTCATCCGCAGTCAGCATACGGGCGGCCCGGGACGCGGCTCCGTTGGCCCGCTGGTCCAGGTCGTCTGCGAGGAGCGTGTGGCATGCCGGAGCTGGTCCGGCAGCACAAAGCTGCAGCCTGGAGGAACGGCCGTGCGATGTCGGCACGGTGCTTGAGCGGGAGGCCGTTGCACACGACCTCAATGCGCCAGGCGTCGTGAGTGGGCACATGGAGGTTCATAGCCGACTATGACGACCAACGCGGGCTCGGCTTTTTGGCAGACCCGTGCGACGGCACACTCGACGGGAACTGTTCGGGAGGCAAGTACGCCGCAAGTGGACTTGCCAGGGTGTTCCTCGGCACGCGCAGGCACGTGGGCCAAGCGGGAAGAGGGGCCAAAACCGCCGGAGGAGCAGGATCCGAAAGTGGGACGTGGGAATAGATACATCCTGAAAGGTATAAGTAGAACCAAGAGGGCCCGTGCGCAGCGTGGCCCGGCCTGCGCCAACATCAAGGCGCGAGATGCTGGTGTGAGTTCAGAAACATGCGTTCAAGTGTTGTCATGTTTTTTGCGCCCGTTGGAGGGTGTTGAAAACGAGGTTTCCCAACACACAGGGTAGCGGCTGTTGTGGAGTTGCTCAAAACCGCGATACGTTCATTCATGCTCTATAACGGGCAAGCACATGCTGGAACTGTTCTTTTTTTTTTTGCGCACCTTTTCCGGAAGTTCGAAGCGGTCCCAGTGCAGGTTGCGAGCTACGGAGAGGGCACGCCGCAGCTCGAGGCTCACGCGAGCCGTGCCCATCTGTGGTCACAGTCGCTGCAGCATGGTTGGCAGCCGATTACCAATCGAAGACTCTGACTGGTTGTCACGATGAGTTGCTTTTCTCGCCCACGATTCCGATCCTTGAGCGTGTGTAAGCCGTGAGCGCGGGTCGCTAGGCCGTGGAGTGCCTCAGCAGTGAAACATGTGATGTCGCCCATGATGCCCCTGTTACCTTTGAGCGACGATGGACGGCCGCAGCCAGGTAATCGCAATCGTGACAGCGCAGCTGTCGAAGTCGCACAACGCCCTAGGTTCGCATGAGCTCGTTCGGCCCAAACCGCACCGGCTGGTGTTGAGTGATTGGCATCCCACCGCCAGCAATCCAACGCGGAATCGATTGGCGAGGGAACCTCAGCCCTCGCCCACGAAAAGCTGACTAACCGTAGGCATGTCTGTGACGAGGGCCCCGGTGCAATTGCGACGTACGGTGTGGGAGCCGTGCAGCCGGAGGACTAGGCAGGTTCCACCGCGCGTCTGCGAGGAGTGGGCTCGGGGCCATCTCCAACCTCAGCGGCAGGGGCGGAGCTCAAGGAGAGAGGTGGGCAGCGACAGCCAACAGGCCGCGCCAGCGCGTGACCAAAGCGGTACTCAGAAGTGTTGAAGTCACATCAACTTTTTATGGCCTTATGGTTCCCCCAAGGAACGCCGCCCGTCAACCAATAGAAAAAGTCACGTCAATGTACTTCCCGCAAGTAAACGCTCGACATCCAAAGAAAAAATTGGATTGTGAGGGCGCAGCAACTTACGAATCCCCCAAGGAAACGCTAGTCACATCATGCCGTTGCACCGGTCGCTTGCAGGTGTTTGTGCAACAGTTTTTGCAAACAATCCCCATGTAGACTCTGATATTTCATTAACTTATATGAGCGCAGGGACGAGTACCTCATTACCGTCCCACCCCGAAGACATAACAACTGCAGCTCCGGAGACTTTCCCCGAAGGAGACGCGCGTTCTGACTCGTTTCCGGGAAGTCATAACATTCTGTCGTTTCCGCAACTAGATGCTCGGGTTCAACCATATAGAACAAGTGCACTTTGCATGGGAAAGTCGAAGCGGAAGTCATAACATTCGCCTTGTTCCCCAAGTGGACGCTCGATTTCAGAATCACCCGCTCCAGACACACATCATTTGGTGTTGATCATGAGTCCAGGTTGGAGAAGGAGTGGCCGTCACGATACTATAATGAGAAGGTGGCCTCGGACTGCTAAGGTTTACACGAACAGAGTGAGGCACATCATCTAGAGGATCGTAAGACGACATAGGAATTGGGGCCCCCAGGCTCACAACTCCACACACCCAAAACTCCCCAAACCCTCATCATGCATCTTTCACACGAACCTTGAGCCACGATCACGTGGCGTGTCTTCCTTGCGCAGGGGCCCATGCTCACCTGCACATGCCGTGTCTTCCTTGCGCAGGGGGCCATGCTCACCTGCACATGCCGGCACACCTGCACTCCTCCTCGTCAAAACTTCGCTTAACGAGTCGAGGCTTTGGCGTTCATATGGTGTGCTCAAAAACATGCATCCACCTGAGGTTGGACTATTCCTTCGACCTCGGATGGTATATAATTACAGCTCAACACCAACCCGTATCCGGGACCAGTGATGCGCACTCTCACACAACATTGAGCTTCCCTCTTGAGCTTTCCAGCTTGACCCGCGAGAGAGTCTTCGTCAACCCATCAGCCGGAATCAGCTCGCCACTCATATGCAGCATAGGGATGCCATCATTCTTGAGGTGGTCTCTCAAGTACGAACATCTCATACCAAAATGGCGTGTACGGGTAGGCTGTACATACTCCGACCCCTTGGTGAGGTTGCTAACACAGGCAGAATTGTCCCCGAACAGCTCCGTTTCCACATCCTTCTTCAGGAACTTGTCCACAAACAGCTTCACCTGTGTTCCTAGCTGATACGCTGTTGCCGCTGCTTCGACTTCTGCCTCAAAGGCAGAATAAGCAGTTAAAGACTGTCGCTGAGTACGATATGCGATGGTATAGCCACCAAGCTTCACCACCACACCGGTCCTTGATCTCGATGCTCCGGGCGCTAACGATGCATCTCCAAAGATCGAAAGCTTCTCCTCCTGAAGATTGCCCCCGGCTCTGAAGAACAACACCTTATCCCTGGTACCAGCTACGTACCTCCAGACTTGTGTCGCAAGCTTGTACGTCTTCCTCGGGTCCACAGTGCTCATGCAAGATAAGGCCCCGACTGTAGCAAGCAAGTCTGGTCGAGTGCGAAGCCCCAACCAGAAAAGTGAACCAATCTCCGACTGCGCACGGTGCAGGTCCGCACCGTACGCATCATCCCGGGTCACCGGCACCGTCTGTCCTTCAACCACTTCCGGAAGATTAGCGGCACCTTTAACCGCCGCCCAACCGCGCCGCTCCAGCTCAGTCTCAACCCAAGGATGCTGATGTAGCGACACACCCTCCTCAGTGCGTCTGATCACCATCTCCAGGAACTGCAACTCCTGCCGAATCGGGACCTGCTTGTCACCCACCTGAACCTTCTCACCGACCTTCAACCCGTCACTCGGCAAGAACCCTTGGATCTTCATCTGCCACGTCTTCAGCAGCACCTCTGCTAATGCCTGGCATAACGACACCGGTCCCACAATCAACCCGTCATCAACGTACATGTCGAATGCACCGAAGAATGACTGTGGCTCTCCTTGCTTCCTGATGGCCCACACCCCGGACGAAACAGGATCGAGGAAGAACGTCGTGCCCTCTGCATCCTAAAACGTCTTTCCGTCCAGCTCCTCGTTTCGACAAACTTCCCAAAGCTTCGGTCCTTTGCGTAGCCCGTACAACAACTTACGAAGCCTCCAAACCTTAGAAGGTCCCATCAGACCCTCTCTGGATAACACCTTTGGGGGTCTGACAAAGGTTGTGTCATTGTCCATCTTTGCGTTCAGGAAGGCAGCCGTAACATCCAGAACCAGTCCAGTCCAGCTCGGATTGCTTGCAAGGCAGGTTGCGCTCCACCGGATGTGCTCGATAGCAGGGTTGGCACTCGCGTTGTCCGGATCGTGACCCACCGTATTCTGCTCATAATTGCCGCACACCACTATCCGCGCCTTTGCCCTCCAAGTACTCAAAGGCTCGGCTGGGTCCACCTCCGCGTCATTGTCAAGAGGTTTTTTGGTCAGTACCACCTTGGACGGAAGCACCTTCGCTCCCGATGGTATGTCCGCCTCATCCCACTCATCATAGATCCCCTTCTGTTGAAGCGTCTGCAACTCAGGTTTCAAACCCTCATTTATCCACTTCAGCTTCTCATCCGCCGGTGTTTTAGGGTCAGACAGGATTCTTGCATCAATCGTGTCCGTAACCAGCTGCGCAACCTTGACCTCTGCCCGGTTCATCTCTTGCTCAACCTCATACGGCAGGATTTGATAGCGATCGGCCTTGTCGTCATTCTTCACCTTCTTCCGGACCTCAGGTACCATTGCAAGTGGCTCCTCCTCAAGATGATTACCGGCAGATGCGCGGGCCACGAAAGGCAAACCCTGCTCAACATGACCACCTTGTTCGCGCTCTTCCACCGTAAGCATTCCCAAATCCACTCCAAGGTCCCGGACTACCTCACCGTCCCGAACCTGGCCCGAAGAACTGATCCAGACCAAATCTCCCAACGGTGTGACATGTGTTCTCCACTGCTCCGGCTTCTTATCAATCACGGCTGGCAATCGCGCGGTGATCAAATGCTCCTGACCTGCCCTCGTGACTAACACCAAAGCACCCTGCACTGCAACGTCCGACTGAGCAATGAAACGCCCTGGCTCCACTCTGGGGTCAAAGGGACCCGCACCTTGCACAGTCACAGCAACATAGTCGCCTGGCTCAGGCAACCTTCCTTGATGAGGACGGTTTAAGGTCACATCCCTCTGCCTCCTCGCAGCTTCTGCCATCATGAGTGGCCAGAACTTCTTGTTGATGCCACCCCGGATCAGAAATCCCCTCGCTCGCTCTTTCAACAATCCAACAGTCCGCTCTGCAAGACCGTTTGCTTGAGGATCGTAACCCGTCGTGGTGGTTTGGAACACTCCTAAAGCATTGATCCCCTCTACAACCCGTTGCGCCAGGAACTCGCGAGCCTTATCAGAATGTATTCGAACCACCTGAGGTCGATCTCCGCACAGAGCTGACACTTGCGCCAAGACACTCTGCAATGCACTGAACAGCTCACTCCACAGCCTCCTCTTCATAGGCCGCACGAAATGCAACTGCATGCTCTCATCAATGCGAAACACAGCTATCAAGGCGTACTTCGTTCCATCATAGGCAGCAGCATACGGACCCGCTAAATCTATAGACAGAACCCCTCTGGACACCTGGTCAGCAGTTACCTTCCGGTGCGGGCGGCGCAGGCCGCGAGCTTCATAATCTTTCAACGCATGTCCCGGGCGTGCCGGCGGATCCCCTGTAAGATCAATGACCTCTTCAGCGACAGCTTCGAAAGCCATTAACCCCGGCGCGGACAAACCCTCATCTCCATCATCACCCGGGCTTTGCACGCTACTCGTGCCTAAACCCTGAAACTCCGAATCCCAAACGTCCTGTGACCCTGGCTCACCATTCGGTTCAATCTGCACGGCATCACCTTCCGAACAGACCTGATCGCCTAAGGAGGGGGAGAGTTCCGGTATGATGCTTGTGTTCTCTGCTTCTAGCCTACTGCTGCCGCATGTTGTCATGTTGGCTACGCTGCTGCTGTTGTTGTTGCTTCCAAGCTTCTGCATCCTCTCGTCATGAAAGCCAAGGGTGCTGAGCTCCTTCATAAGCTCAGCTGTCACATTGAGGTGGCCACGCGGTGTGTAGCCAACTGCCGTAGCTCTCGTTCCCTTGAAAGGCTCAGTCCCATGCAACCGAAGAGCAGAATTGAACCTTACACTCTTATGCGATAGCTCGTGAAGCCGACCCGCCTTTGGCTCGTCACTGCTGTCGACTCGTCTGATAGCAGTATTTCCCTTTTCATTCGGAAGCCCTTCAATCCAAAGTTGGCCCCCGATGAAGCGAGTGATTCCAAAGAGCACGGATTCTCTTTCAAGGGAATTGCGATCACGATGAGGACGGAATGCCAAGTTGATCCCTACGCCGACAGACAAAAACTCCAAATCCGGATGATGTTGTCGCACCAACTTCGTCAACAGTCGCGTCAACCATGGATGCCGACGAGTTTCAGATGTTACTCCCAACACGCCGCCATGAACGAAGAGACCAAATGACCACATCGGAAGTGCTTTCTTGCCTCCTTCTTCTACGACTCTCTCTCTATCAGTCTTCCTCTCAACCAGACTCGCCAGCTGAATCGCATCCCAAACCTCATCAAAGGTGATCTTAGCTTTGGCACACAACTCCTTGGCCCTCTGTTCGCCTGCATCCTCCAATGCAACAGCTGGTGCAATCTTTGACTCCTCCTGAAAGCGACTTCCAAGAATCTCAACAGTAGGCTCGTAATCTGTCACATGCAGGGATGAGGTCTCGGCACGCATGACACTGATGTTGCCACGCTTTCTCCAATCTTTAGCCAAAAGCACTCGAATGGGCTTAAAGTCTTCCCATGAAATGTATGGCAACCCATTTTGCTCCATGCAATGCACCGTGACTTGATTCTCACCGTTCCAATACTTGACCCTCGGACCTAACTCATCCCACACAAAAGCACCCCGAATACCCCTCAGCCTACGGACACTCAGAATCCAATCAGCATCATGATCCAACTCAACATCACCGATCATGAGCTCACCATCTCGTGTCCTCCATGCCTGCACTGTGTCCCCTGATGCCAAAGCCACTTGCGTTTTCTTGCATCGATGAACATCATATCCCTCGGGCCGTGGCCTTATAACTTCATTGGCACCTGAATCCACCAAGACCTGTGGTCCTAAGACAACACGGGCAGCCACAGCGCTCGTAACACCGACATCTTCGGCATGGTTAGCTCTGTTAGGGGTCTTTGGGGTCGCAGCCTTGGGGCCTTGAGGTGAACTAGATGCTTTTGCTTTCGCCTTTGGGGCTGATGCCTTCGGGACCTCATGGGGAGCCGATGCCTTTGGAACCTGATGGGGAGCTGATGCCTTTGGAACCTCATGGGGAGCTGATGCCTTTGGAACCTCATGGGACTCATAAGGGTACCCCGGGGGCCGAGCAACAGTAGGGGCTTTCGCTTGCATCTGATGGGCTCTTTGGTTCACTACCTCTACCGCAGAAAACGGCTGAATCCGCATGCCCCTCCTCGCATCCTCAAGAGTCCACGGCTCGACCCTAGGAGGAACCCCACTCTCCGTCAGCGCGAGCATCTGCTCACGACCAGTTTCATCATCAATCACATGCACCAAGACTACTGGCCTAATAATCCCGTCTTGATACATGCACAGCACTTGGTGAGCTTCAATGATGTACTGAGCCTGTCCTATCTGGATGTCTTCAATCGGAAGTTGGAAATCAAGTTCTTCAAGGATTTCCCAAATGCCAACAGCAATCAAGTTGGGTCCGTTCACCTGCTGAAATGGAGCAATAGCATGAGTCAGCAGTGGGGACGCACCACTCGACATCAAAGCATACTCAACTTCATGAAGAACTAGGTACCACAACGGCGGTCTACCGTGGCCCTCACTCTCACTCTCACTCTCTATAGCACGCCCTGTCGAATCACTAGAGTCAACTGGGCCAGCATCCGAGAGGTTAGACTCACCCTCACAGAGCCCGAAGCATGTTCTGATGTCCCATCCTGTCCCAGCTCACGCGCGGCTTTCGCAATCACTCGAACCGACGAAGCCCTAGGACCTACATCAACATCAACCCCGAGCAACCCAGCAATAGCAGCCTTCGCTTCGGATTTCGGCTTCGCTTCAGGCTTCGTCTTGGACTTCGCTTCAGGCTTCGGCTTTGGGGTCGCTTCAGGCTTAGGGGGGCGATTCGTGTCCTTGTTTTCATCTTTCGATGACTCGGCTGTCTTACCGCTACCTTTGGCGCCCTTGTCTTTACCCTTTGCACCCTTGTCCTTGCCTTTTTCCTTTCCCTTGCCTTTTCCACCTTTGGAGGCCTCTTGATGGACAAAGGGGCACTCGGCACCTCTCCAACAACCGCCTGGCTTCCCGAAATGAAAGCACAATCGCCCTTTCCCTTTTGCCGCCGCCTCCGCAGCAACGACCACCTCGCTACTTTGAGCAGCTCTAGCATCTCTAACCTCCTGTTCTGAAGCAAGACGTCTGCACTCCACTTCAAGTAAGGATAGATACCGATCCAACCCAGAAGTTGCAGGAATGATGATGTCCGGCTGCATCCTCAAAAGATTGATCTTCATAGCCAGCTGCTGATGCTTCTTCTCAAGAACCTTCATCAAGCTATCCAAAGCCGCGATGCCTTCGTTAGGAGCTTGCTCAGGTAGACCCACACTTTGGGCCCGATGGCGAGCGAGCTTCCACCTTCGAAGCGTTGTCATCGCACCCTTGAAGTCCTGTGCCGATGGCAGTTGTCGCAAGTATCGCTGAATCGACTCCAACTCTTCACGACCCCCCGGGGCGTAGCGCTCATGCAGACTCTCAAACATCAAGATGCACCGCACGTTCTTCGAAGTAGATCCCTCAACCACTGGCTGACGAACAGTTTGCGGAAGATTCTTGAGCAATGCCAAAGACAGTCGAGTCTCCATCTCAGCTTCTGCTACCGTAATATCAGGCAAAGAATCCTCGAACCCAGTGAGTCTCTTCTTCTCGTAGCGCTGTCGCCCTTCTTCATAAATCCTATCGAAGTAATCAGCAAAGCCGGGATGAATAGCTGCCAAAACCGTTCGCGTTTCGACTCGCCACTGATGTGCAGTCATACCCACTTCCCAAGGCTCGCCGCCTGCCGAGAGATCCAGCTTAGGCGCGTCCTTGATGAGCTTGTACGCGGCTTGATTGATCCGAAATGTCTGTCTCTCTATTCCCTCACTCTTCTTCATGTCTGGAGGCAACGGAGGAGGCGGAGTGCAAGGACCAAAACTCAAACCCGGAGGAACACTAGTTTCAAGATCCTTACTTACCCATTCCCGTTCATCACCCCACCATCCGTCACCACCATCATCATGTTCATCATCCTCCTGCGCAGCGGGAAGATCTGGTGTCATGGCATAGTACAAGGGCCCCGACAAAGTAGCAGCACTTCCTACGGCATTCCGTTGCGAGCTTGAGCTTGCCAAGTCTGTCAACCCCTTACCTACACCCATCTCTCTCTGAATGCTGACGTCTCGCTGTCGCAGCTTAGCCACTAGACCCTCGAGCTCAGCAACCTTGGTGACCACCCATCGGGTTCGCTCCAAGTTCTGCTCATACTTGTTGTTGACTGCCACAGCCTCCGCCTGTGCCTTATCCAGGCCCTGCTTCAGCTGCACAATCTGCTCATCGCTGGCTATCTGCTTCCTACTCAAAGCTTCCAAAGTTGCCGCCTGTCGTTCCAACATGACAACCAGGTGCTGCTTCTGTTCCTCAGCAGACTTATCCAACCACCCTTCGCAGTCTTCGCGCATTACAGCTTGGGCCGCCAGAACGTTTTCAAAGCTTCCCTCTAGCGTTGACAATCGCTGCACTGCTTTACCCCATGTATCTTTCATACTGGATTCGAACTCCGCAAGAAGGCTCATCGTCCTATCATGCTCGGTGGATAACGAAAACAGCTTTTGCCCTTGGTGTACACCTTGCGACTGCAACTCGCCAACTGACGCTTGCAGCTGTGCAATCTGCTCTCGATTCTCTCTGCTTCCCTCTGCAGCCTTTAACACACACTGTCCAAGCAACTCTGATCTTCGGAACAGCTCATCGGCCATCCCCTGCATGCTCTGACGAACGTGATCAAGATCCGCCAATTGTCCCAACTCCAACCGCTGCAACGCTTCAAGTCGCGATATCAGATCAGGGGGAATAATTACGTGCGAAAGGCTCTTAAACACCACTGACCCATCCGCTCGAAGGTCCGCTGCCGATGCAGTCGCTGATGATGCATGCTGATGTTGCTGCTGCTGCAGATGCTGATTTGCACTAAGTGCGGAGTCCTGCCCAAGTGGAGCACTTGGGCTCATAACCTGTTGATCATGAGTCCAGGTTGGAGAAGGAGTGGCCGTCACGATACTATAATGAGAAGGTGGCCTCGGACTGCTAAGGTTTACACGAACAGAGTGAGGCACATCATCTAGAGGATCGTGAGACGACATAGGAATTGGGGCCCCCAGGCTCACAACTCCACACACCCAAAACTCCCCAAACCCTCATCATTCATCTTTCACACGAACCTTGAGCCACGATCACGTGGCGTGTCTTCCTTGCGCAGGGGCCCATGCTCACCTGCACATGCCGTGTCTTCCTTGCGCAGGGGGCCATGCTCACCTGCACATGCCGGCACACCTGCATTTGGCATCACAATGCACGACAACCAGCCATTCCCCACGTAGGCGCTCGATTTCGCAAGCACTCACTCAAGACAAAGAAGAGTAAAATCACAGCACTTCACAACCAGCCATTCCCCAACTAGACGCTCGATTTCACAAGCACCCACTCCAGACACAGATTATTTGGCATCACAATGCACGACAACCAGGCTTTCCCCTTCCCGTGCGGAGGTGCAGGTGTGCATCTCCAGCGCCAAACAGGGTGATGGAGACGGTTTTTGATAACAAGTCGTTGCTATAAACAAGAAGACAGCCGCACACCCAAAACGACAGAACATTCCCAGGAAGAAGCTCGAACACTAGCTCGAACTGTCAGGCAACCGGTGTTCCGAACTCAAACCTATTCCGCAACTAGACGCCGGCATCGCAACTGAAACAACACGATCCGACGCCTACGAAAAAAATGATTTACGAAGGTGACGCCCCGAAATCACAAGTTCCATTTCAAACGTCATCAAACGTTGAACATGTAATTCCCGAGTGTGGACGCTGTTTGTTAAGATTTCTCGTTCTGCTTCCCCCGTGAAAGTTTGCAAAGGCTCTACACCTGTAAAACGCGAAGACTTACTACCCCTTTCGGGTATTCAGAGACTCCAAAACCCTTCATTAAGGAATCTATTAGGGTTCCTTTATCTGGTCCTATTTATAATTTGAAAGGCATTCCTTAATTAAAGGATTTTGGAGTCTCTGGGTCGGTAGATAAGTAAAATAGCTGTAGAACGTTGTAACATACTTTCCCCCAACTACACGCTGACTGGGCAAACTTCCTGAAATTCTTCCCCGCTCTTGCTTGTGACATCCAGAAACGGTTAACTTTCCGGTTCAACTGTAACATGTGAAACACCAAATAAACACCCAAAGGCAACGACCTCCCCAAAAGGCTTCCCCCAAGCACTGCTGGCCGCGGAAACGGAACGCGACGACTTCTACAGGTGGGAGTAGATAAGCTTTTTTTTGGACGTGTCTCCAAGAACAGATTACTTGAAACACCATGTTGCAACCCGCTTGAAGCCCAAACCCGCGTACCGAGTGTTGACTTTCGAGAGCAACTTCACTGTTCATCCAGATTTTCGTTTAATGGCGGTTTCTCATGAGGCGGAACCCTGAAACAGAAAGAGTTTCGCTTAAGCATGCTGCGGCGTGCCTGACCAAGAAAATCCATTTCTGTGGGGACCCGAACGATACCCCAGAATGATACGTGTACGATACCCCGAACGATAGCCCCAACCTCCATGATCAAGACACTTGCCCTTCCCTTTCTTTCGGCCTCTTTACGCGTGTTCAGCAAATCCTTGTATGCGGGCTACTTTGGAAAGAAGCCGAGCAGCGAAACAACCCATCAGAACAGCCATTCCCTATGGAAACGTTCGATTTCACACGGATCGTTGTTCAGCAAATCCCTGCTTTCGGGCTACTTCGTATAGAAGCCGAACAGCGAAACAGCACATCAAAACAGCCATTCCCCATGTAAATGCTCGATTTCACAAGGGTCGTTGTTCAGCAAATCCCTGTATCCGGGATACTTCGTATAGAAGCCGAACAGCGAAACAGCACATCAGAATAGCAATCCCCCATGTAAAAGCTCCATTTTACAAGGATCGTTGCTCAGCAATCCCCTGTATTCGGAGTATTTCGTATGGAAGCCGAGCAGCGAAACAGCACATCAGACAAGCCATTCCCAATGTAAACGCTCGATTTCACAAGGATCGTTGTTCAGCAAATCCCTGTATTGGGAGTATTCCGTTGGAAGCCGAACGGCGAAACAGCACCTCAAAATAGCCATTCCCCATGTAAACGCTCGATTTCACAAGGATCGTTGTTCAGCAAAGCCCTGTATTCGGAGTATTTCGTATGGAAGCCGACCAGCGAAACACCACATCAGAATAGTCGTTCCCAATGTACATGCTCGATTTCACAAGGATCGTTGTTCAGCAATTCCCTGCATCCGGGTTACTTCGTGTAGAAGGCGAGCAGCGAAACCCCGGCACCTTCCCCCCATCTACTGGCGTGGATCGACAGGACGCGGCAACGACTTCAACAGTTCGGAGTAATGGCCGAAGGCCGCAACAGCCGCGGGACCGCATCGTCTTGTAGGCTGTCGTAGGCACGAAAATCCCCGCAAGGAAGGTTGACACGCATCGGCACCGAAGAAGGTAGGGTCGGCTCAGCGAGCTCGACAATTTCGCTCACTGTCGGCTGCCCATCGCTGGTGCGCGCCAAGCGCCGTGCTGGGCGGCAGTGAAGACGCGAACGCACGCTGCTGCGCACAGCTCCAGAACCCTCACCAGCGGCGCCGCCAGCCTGCCGTACGTGTAGCGGCTGCGTGCTGTAGGGGAAGTATACCTCGCAGTGACCTCATACGGACAAGGCGGCGAAGGAGATCGCGGGCCTCGCTGCCCCAGCGCCCCCAGCACCACAAGCCGCTGCAGTCCGGGCCGTGACGCGAGTTTGCGGTGCCGTGCGATTTTTGCAGCACACCGTCGCGATCGCGAATGCCCTGCTGCTGTCTCCCATCCGCACGCAACGGCGACGCGAGGGTGACGTCGCAGCACAGCGCCTCCCCACGCCGGGTGGCACCCGTACAGGACGAAGTCGAGCCGGCGCCGATCGTCGCGTAGGAACCCCGGCACGGTTTCAACGCCAACAGCCTCGGGAGCGACCCGCACCCATGCACGCTCCAGGATCGGGGTACGTTTTTTGTTCACGCACACTTTGTGCAAACAATACGAGCACGGTCCCAGTGCACCTGCAGTTTACGCGGCATGTGCAGCCTAGGTCCTCCCCGGGAGTCGGCTGAGGGCAGGGGCATGCAGCGGGCGTTCGTCCTGCAGGACCTCACGCGCAGCCATTGGGCCAGCAGTGCGGGCCACGCGCACGCGACGCGATGATCGCCGACCACATCGACGCAGGCGCCACAACCGGGCTCGCTGCCGCCACCACACCGAGCACCTACCGAGCACATCCGAACACCAATGGAAGACGGAGGCGCAATCGTCACCGTGGAGCGATGAGCATCTCGGGCGAAGCGAGCGTGCATGCTGCCAGTGTCAGCTGGGATGGCGCCTAGCCACTCGCCAGCGCAGGGCTCCTGACTGTGAGCGCAGCATCGCGCGGGCATCGGCGCAGAAGCGTTCGCACTTGCTCGGCACAGCAAACCCCAAGGCCGCTTGGGAGGGTGGGTAGGAAAGCTAGACAGCGCGTCGCATCCCACCTGCATGTACGACTTCCGGTGCACTTGCATCTCGAACCCTTCTTCTGGAGCGGGCAAGGTGGCGAAGGTGTGTCAAGCAGCCGGGGAACGGGTTGCCGACATGAACATCGATGTTCCGGTCTCCGATGATTTCCGCATGGAAATCGTCCCGAAAAGGCTGTTTTTGTGGTGTGGCCCAACACTCGGTAAACGACATCATCGTCCTTCCGTGTAATCACGTTGCTGTTCTTGTCGCGAATGATCCGGTAGTCGTCGAGAAAGACGCGATCGTTCGGTTGATGAAGTCGCGATCACTCTTATACAGCGGTTGCTACTACCGATTGTTATTGATATATTCGATGTTGCTATTTTCACTATTGACTTTATTGTTTGATATTCACACTCGGACAAGCCTGGCAAGGTCTGCAGAAGTAGGTACGACGAAATACTATATTCTTTGTTAAATCGTTTCATTCAACAAGCTTGCTGTCAAACGAGATCCATAATTGGACAGAATTAAGTGTGCAATCATAATCCTCGAACCCAGCTGACAGCAATCTCCCTTCGGGCGTCCCAACACCAAACAACCGAACTACTGACATGAAAATGTTATTCTTATTGGCTGCTACTGAAACTACGCTTCTTATTTATATTATCGTTCTTGCTGATACTATCGTTCTTAGCTCCGATATTGAAGGAAAGCGTGCGGAAACTGATATGCCTCTTATAGCCGGTTGGGGGCTGGTTCGTTGCAAAGGCTGCCAACTGGCTCCAGTTGCTTGGCGGGCAACGTGCCTCGGACGTGCAGGCGGCTGTGCGTGCAGCAACACATGTGGCCTAGGCGGCGCGTTGGTCAGGGCTGCCGGTGTCACTGCACAGTGCGCGTAGCCCCTTGTTGGAATTCTCGGATTGCAACGTCGCTGGCGTGAGCTGCACGAGTCCTCGCCAACGTGTGGAAGCTTCATAAAGATTGGAAGTCGGCAGGGAAAATTCCATGCCAGACAATGCCAGAGACTGGCTAGCACTCTGGCAGACGCACATCCGAGGAACCAAGAAGGCATTGACGGCGTGGACTTTTGGGCTGTCGGAAAGGTGCGCAATAAAAAAACCAAAAAACAAGGATACGCTGAATGTCCGC